CTGCTCTTTCCCATGCATAATCTTATAAACCTCGATCATGTCACCCCTCAGTCGTCTTTTCTCCAAGCTAAAGAGCCCTAAGCGCTTTAACCTTTCCTCATAGGGAAAGTGTTCCAACCCTTTTATCATTCGAGTTGCCCTTTTCTGCACTTTTTCCAAAGCTATAATATCCTTTTTAAGGTGTGGTGACCAGAACTGCACACAGTATTCCAAATGAGGTCGCACCATTGATTTATATAGGGGCATTATGATATTGGCTGATCTGTTTTCAAAGTGGCACAATTCTGACCAGCATTCACAGATGTCTATGTATTAGTCACTGTCTCTCTGTGAAGATAACTTTCCCTTGACTTTTTATTTAGTGTGACAACTACAAGGCTTTTCTTTAAAAAGCAATTGACTTATTCACAGGAAATAGGTCTACCGATTGCTAATATTAGTATTTGAAAGACAAGTGTGCCTCTAAATACTAGGTGCTCAGCATTTGTCTTCCTGCTGTGCTTGTACACTTCCTAGAGATATTTGGTTGGTCCCTGTAGGAGACCAGATGCTGGACCAGATGGGATCTTGGTCAAATCCAGCAGGGTTCTTCTTATATTCTTATAACACTAAATTCACTGCTGGGGACCCTGCCTTATTGTCAAGCACAGTCAACTGTAAAAAGGAAAGACTGCAGTAGTACAGAATCAGCCCTGACATGAATTAGTACATTTACATGGTTAAAAGGTGGGACACAAATGATGAAATAAAGTTGTTTAGGGAAATATCTTCTGCAAGGCAGATGTTGGGCCTAGATCTTGAGATCACTTGTGTCTGTCACCCTATGCAGTGTGCATGTAGCCTAGTGCAATGCTCACAGTTTCCATTGAATATGTCAAGATTTACTGCAGTTATATATTGAAATGTGATTATCATTTCCTTCTCATCATGAAGAAGTGCTGCCTTTTTTAGAGTTGTTTTTGAAACGCACCTCTGATGACAATTTAAAAAGGAAACTGAAGTTAGGCTCTTTCCCTTAGTACTTAGGTTGTACTAGTCAGCAATTCAGCACCCTCTGACTGCTTCTTAATCAGGTACCATAAACAGAACAAAGGAGAAAGAAATGTGTTACAGAAATACTTTTGCAAAGATATCCTACATTAGAATATCTGTTTATGAAATAGGATGATTGTGTGACATGGCGTTTAATATTTGAAACTGGGTGGATGGGTAGATGCAATTTGTTCCAGTTTGATCCAGGTGACTCTGGCTTGTTGGAGAAAGGGAACACTGTTTTTGCATGCAGTTAAAACTCACCTTCTGTAAATCTTTTCAGTTGCCCATTCCCAGGGTGTCGCAGTAGATTAAGTCACTATGTGATGATATGACACCGCCATCACTCGTCTTCCTGGGATATTGCTAGAGGCAACAACAAACCTGTGTCTTTGGCACATGTGAAGAAATTTAGCGCTTCAGGGGTTAAATTACACAGGCTCCCTCGCGAATCAGCTTATGCTTGGGCAGTAATAATAGCAATAACATTAATAATAAAAATGCCAAGGAAAAGTGAATAGAGGAAGAGGTAAAGGACAGAAAGATGAACAAAAGTGTTTAGGGGAAAATTCTGGCAGGCTACAAATGATGGGGTTTTGGATAGTAGGTGCATCAACTGGAACTATACCTAATTATTCAGAGAGCCACTGAAAAATGCACATACAATTACACTTTACTGTAGCATTAGAGATGTCTAGTGTCTTTGAGTGTGTTTCTCTCTGTGTGTGCATGCTGTCGCTTCAGGCCATGATATCCTAGGGCAGTGTAACAAGCAATTCGTGTCAGCTCACAGTAAAGATTATTGGTGTTTTCACTGGGGAAATATTTGCACTCCATCTTCTTTTCTATTTTTAGTGCCTTGAGCTCCCAGTTAGGTAGGAAGCTGTGGAGAGAAGGGGGGAAGACATCAGATCTTGTCCACAGTTAAGTCAGAATTACACTCCTAATCTCGTTCCAGAATGGCTGTTGGTACCTGCCTGTTGATACTGTTTTTATTCATAGAACGGAAGAAAAGAGGGGTCAGTTGAAATTCATGTGAGGGAATAAACAATTGCTTTCTCCTGAAACACAGTGTCATTGAAGTATAAAACACAACTCTAAAGCAAAATAATGTAGTGACTATTTCTAGAACAAGCACCATAGTACCAATAAGGGACAGAAGTTTATTACCAGAGAAATAAAACAATTTTGTTTCCTTTTAGGTTTGATGTTTATCACAATCATCTTTCTTATGAAAAGCCTAATTTGCTCTTTCTATATGGATATTTAAAATATGATTACCATAATATAATGCCAGCTAATATTGTCCAAAATGCAATGCTGACCTTGAATGTACTTTTCCCTTTAGTATGTGGTGCTTTAGTACTCAGAAAACAACCTTCAATCAGCTTATTAATGTGTAATTGTAAAATGTTAACTCTGTGTTACATGCCATATGGATTCTTGAAATCATTCAGTATCCCATGTAACAGCATGTGGTATTTTACCAGTGTAAATATGTACAAGATTTTTCAAGATTTCCACTGGGAATACTCCACAACTGAAGTAAGCATTCCCCTCAGCACTGCAGTAGTTTATGATTTAATTTTTACTGACATTCCACCAGTCATATTACTAGCTTCACAAAATGAAAGTGAAATAATCCTGTATTAATTAAAGAGAGTGACTGAATTCCCTCAGTCATCTTCTCCTTGGCAGTCTGAGACAGTAACACTATGCTTCTCTGAGGAACCATGTGGTAGGAAAAGAATTTGATGTAGTAATGTGGGAATGGGGAAAGTGAATGACCCTTTTCAAACTGCATTTGTATTCCGTTTTAGTAACTAATTGCTAATGGATTTTTCTGTCATTTCAGACAGACCTGTTCTAGTAACCAGCTGCTAGTAGAATTTATTTACCTGTTCATACAAATCTGCTTGCGTTGGGTTAGCAAAGCATGGTTGAAGCATTTTTAAGGGAAACTGCTTTTTTCAATTTTCAACCCCTTCATTGCACTACTGAATTGCTGTGGTGTGTTGTTTAGAACGCCCATAGCACTTCCTACAGTGCTGCTCCCCCCCCCCCGTATCTTCCTTGGACTTTTAAAATATGTTCTAAGGTGAGTGCTATAATGCTAATCCGCTATAGCATTTTAGTGCTACAGTGGCACCATTGAGTCAATGTATTTCAATGGTGCCACCCTTTTTTCACCACACAATCTTCCTCGTACTTAAGAAAACATTCTAAGGTGAGTGCTACAGCTATAGCACTCACCTTAGAATTTAAGTCTGAGGAAGATCCCACGGGGGGGGGGGGAAGCGGCACTGTTTGAAATGACCATAGCACTTAAGAGCCTGCTCATTAACGGAAGAATATTTGCCTGTATTTCTTTCCCTATATTGCGTTACTCGAAATTGGGCCAGCAACTAATAACATCTGGTTTAGAACAGTAATGTGAAAAGGGCTTATGTGTTTTGGTTATGTACTGGTTTTAGCAAGAATAAACTTTTCTCCCACTCAGGCAATGTATGTGTAATTATCCCATCCCCCTCTTTTGTTAAAGGTGTTAAGGTAAACTGAGCAAATATCACTTACAATAGTGTAAAGAGGATCTGTTTTTCTCCATCAAAGTTCTAATAGTGGTCAGCCTTGGTGCATGGCGTATCTGTTGCGGTTAATCTATTGTACTGCACTGATGATAAAATATTTGTTGTGACTTATTGCTGAAATGTTGTATACTTCCATTTAAAGGTACAATAAAAGGGAAATGCTGTGTGTCTGTGTGCATGCACAAATCTGTGTATGTTTATCAATGGCTGATACTGAAAGCAAATTCTAGTGTTGTAGGTTGTTGCCTAAAATCCAGGCAGGGTGGTCATTACTTCTGCTAAATATAAATGAAAGCAGCAGATGGTTCTAAAGTAGTAATCTACTACCATTTGCCAAAGTATATAGAAGCATGCAAAAGAAATTCAGAGAGAGAGACTGTTACTTGCTTTGAAAAGTGAGAAAATGTACACTGTACTCAAAGATGAACTGCACTTCTGAAGAAGTATAAAAGATGAATTTTGAAACTCTAAAACAACTTAATACCTTAGTCCTAATGACTTTTAAACAACCGTCAGTAGCTGCAGATGAGACTGTGAGGATCAAAAAAATTGCAGCGCGGGGACTTCAAGGATTTTCCTCCCCCCAGTCCTACAACTGTTGCTCATTAACATTATTTAAAATATGTTGTTCTGACATCTTTCTGACCAATTACCTCACATTACACTAAACACAGGAAACATTTTGTCTTCATCTTTCATCATTCATTTAATACAACTAGGGTGGCTTACAACATTTAATGCAAACTTAATTGAAGAAATGTTGGGGTGGAAAAAATGTTTCTGAGGGCATAAAGGATGATACAGATATTCCATCCAGGCTTCCTCCCCCCTCCAGTGCTCCTTAAGTAAATATATACTTGGCATAATTAACTGTACTGCTTCTGCAAAGTGCCACGGGATCTTTACTTCAGTAGCCTTGAGGTAGCTATGGTTTAGGAGTCTGGCAATTGGGATGCAATGAGATGTCTGTAGCACTTAAGTGTGAAGGCGCTTAAAGATGTACAGTACTCTACATGGAGATAATTATACACATAGAGGGATGTAAAGATGTAGACACTGCTCAGCAGTGCTCATTGACTGGTGCAGATACTCATGACAGCTTCTCTCGCACTTTCAGCCCTGATTCTATTACTGTTGCTTTGTGCAGAGTCCTTGAGGTAAGGTTTTAGACTGGAGCTTTTGATTTAGCATTAATGTAGACAAGTGAGCACAAGAAAGCCTACAAACCTAACTTAACGTCTTCTGCAAATTCTATAACAAGCTTTCCCCCCTTGATTAGATCTTCTACAAGACTTTAAAAAAACCCTTTAATAAAACAGAACAAGCATTTTTATTTATTTATTTATTTACCTTCAACCCCGCTCGAACCCCTTTTTCATAAAAGAGTTAACAATATCTGGTAATCTGCATTATTTATTTCTTCTTGTATTAAAGTAATCAAACAGTAACTGGGCAACACAAGTTCAAGAATGCAGCTGAAATTCCAGGCCCTGGTCTAGCAGAGGTGACATTTTCAGTCCCAGAGGAACAGGCCAACTGCCTTTCATGAATGCATAAATTATGCTATGGCTGTGGTCTTCTAAGTGGCAGCACCATCAGCGAAGACAGATGCTTGCAGGGTGTCTGGTGGAAAGATAGCAATAGTTAATTTGGTGATGGGGAAGTGGATGACATGGACAAGCAAAAGGACAGTGGAAACTATGTGAACAAGGAAAGCATAGCAAATGGGAAGACAGAGCAAAAGAAAAGGCAGTATTTCAGAGATTTTCCCATAGTGACTATAATCATGCTGTAATGAAGCTAAGGAAAATACGAGGTAAATTTCTTATTTCTAATTAAGATTTTAAATAATCATGATGCTGTGCATCAGTAGATAACGGCCCCTGCCACACCGGGGGGGGGAGAGTATGGGCAAAGTGCGGCTTTTGAAAGCTGCCGCAAAAGAGACATGGGGCGGCAGGATCATATAGATCCCCTGAGCTGCCGCGCAGTGCCTCCCTGGCACGATTAGATGCCGGGGGGGAAGCCACTGAAGGAAGAGCGCAGCAGCCGAACTGCGCATGTCTGTGCATGCACAGTTCCGCCGGGAGCCTGGATTGCTCCGGACGACGGGCGCACCGGCGATCCCATGGCCACGCTTGATGCAGCGTTCCAGGTAAGTCCTCCTCTGTAGGTGGTTCTTTTTTGCAGCGGGTTTTCCTGCTTTAGGGACGGATCGGGGATGGATGCGCGCCACTTCCCACATGTTGTGGTGAGATCGCGCCCATTTGCTGTGCCCCCGATCTGTCCCTCTCCCGGGCCAAAACCTTCTGTGTGACCGGGGCCAACTTTAACTATTTCAGCTAGGAAGGGATCGTGCTTAAACACAGATGCATGGTCTTTAAAATTTTCAAACTCATGTGCCAAAATAACTATTGAACATATATGTAAATTTAAACAACAACGTAGCTTCAGTATATTGAATGTTTTTAATGAATGAACTTTAATATGTTGGAAAAATACAGACTGTGGTTACCTGTAAGTGAAATGGAAATGCAGTACATCTTCATTAACACTGAATCTTTTTTTAAAAAAGAAATAAAGAAAGTATGTTAGGCTCTAATATGAGCCTTTTACTTCTTGCTTGTTTAGTAAATCTCTGGAATGGTTGATGGGATGCATCTCAGAGTGCTTTTAATTCACTGCTCAGGACCAAATTTACATCTTAATTAGAGTCCACATTTAGCAATACAGGCAGCATAATGCTACTGGTAATTAAGTTTTTACTATCTACTTTCCCTCAGTGGTGAAAGCCTTAGTTTGTGCTGTGTGGGTTGTTGATCTTTGCACTAACATATAGACTGCCATGTATGTTTTACTGCATGTATAAGAACCAGCCTCCAAACTGTATAGGGGAATAAGGAAATGACACACTGGAAGTTGTTCAACAAAACAAAGAGACGCAAGCACGTCCACTGCACTTACATGTATTTGTCTTCTCTTCTGTCATTTTACTTGGGCAAAAGCCGTCAAATAGATTTGGAGACAGCTGTTGTATTCCCATTTGTGAATGGCATTAATACATTCTAAGGGTGCGCACTGATTTGTTTTGATCTAAAAGATTATGCCATTTACATCATGGAGTGCTTCTGTCAGGAAAGAAAGAAATGGTACAAGCAGCACAGCTGAATTATTTAAAATTCTGTGTTTTCCAATGTTAAGGTTGCATCAATTATTTTCTAACCATATGCAGAAACTCTTTATTTTCAGCAGATACAATCTTTAAAAAAACCCAAACACTTAGTATAGTATATAAATATGTTTAAGTTAACAAAGAACACTTTAAAACAATGCTGTGCCACAATTTTTTTGGGGGGGATACATCTCTTTTTTTTTTTAAAGCTTTGTATAAACATTGCCTGAAATTTAATATTTATTTATTTACATTAAGTTGGTTCGGTCAGTAGCCCTGACATGCCAGTAGCTTGTGGTGCAGAATTCGAGAGATAATTTTGCAGACATGTATGGGAATAATAGGATATATTTTCGTCCACGTTGACAATAAATATCCTTGTGGTTGTTGTCTACATATCCATGTTAGTATATATGGAGTTCAAGGTGCACACAGTTAAACTAAAGTATTCACATTTAAACAAATGTATAGCCCTCTCTCCTGCCTGTCTATTCAGAAGAGTGTCTGCTGAGTTCAGTGGAACTTATACTCAAGTAAATGTTCACAGCATTGCAGCCTTAGGATCACTAAAGGGACATACTCCCAAGCCTACTCAGACTATCCTGCTGCATTCCTTCAGAGTATATTTCCTTTAAATCAACCGGACAAATATTAAAGGAAAAAAGTTATGGAAGATATTGATCAACAGTGTATTGTTCTTTAGCTTTGATAAAGAGTGAAGTAAAAGTATGCCCACAGTAACATCATTGATATATATGTACAGGTAGGTACACGCTCCTTGATGCTGCATTACTGCTGGACCCTCCCTCCCCTCAGCTGATGTTAAATATTTCCCATAGTCAGCAATTGTAATGTATCATTCATTTCCACAACTCTAAAAGTATAAAGCAGGTTAGGCGAATTACATGAAGATAACACAACAGAAAATTAACCATCCACGTTTACTCACAGGTATATAATGCAGATTCCAGTGGGCCTTAACTGCTAATTATGTTTAAGATTGCAGTATGCATAAAAGCTCCAAAACCAGTTTATAGTAAGTTCTATCAAATTCAAGTGTTTTCCGAATAAGAAAGCAGTCAGTTGATCCAATGCAAGTTTACTCAGAAATGTCCCATTAGGTTAAGTGGAGACTTACTTCAAAGTTAAGGGTGTCTTTAGGCTGCAGTCTCATGCAGGCTAACTTGCCCCACTGAACTCAGGGTGACTTGCTTTCTGAGTAAACACGCCTAGGATAGTGCTGTAAGAATCTCGTTAGGTTTTAACAAACGAGAGCGCCGAAAAAAACCCAGAAATATAACAGCAGACAACGCAACGGAACCGAGAACAGCACAAACTTATACCTTATGACGAAATCTTCACAAAAAATAAAGGGAGGCTGGTGCGCTCTTTCCTGCCAAAGTGTATTTTTAAGCAGCAGAAAGCAATGGTCACCTAACGAGTTAAGCTAGCCATTTAGGAGTTAAGAGCCGGGCTTTTAAAAACCGTTGCATCATTTCGATCTGTGTGCTCAGTTTTCGGTCCTTTCCCGTCCCCTCCACCCTGCTCTACCTGCCGAGCACCGCTCAATCTGTACAGCCTCTGTTCTCTCCGGCGCTGATTGGCTCGTGCCCTACCAATCCGGTCTCCGTCTGGGCCAGTGGGACTGCATATGTAAAGCCCTACTTCATATTTATAAGCTCCAATCGGGGCTTTAAGTCCTTGATTAGGAGAGTGTGAGAGCTTTTGGTCCCAACTGGCTGTGCCTATAGGCTTGTCACCAGGAGAACATTTGTGTTAATTGCACTGTGCTCTGTCAAGGAAACTTTGATTTATAGCTGGGGTGCACAAATAATGGTTGCCGAGCGCACATGGATTCGGTAGAACTTTGCCTTCCTGAGTCTTTTTCCTTGCACTACGAAGAAGAGTAGGTACCTTTCTTCTTTCCCCTCCAACCCCCTTTTCCTTTCCTTCACTTAATTTTTTAAGGGGGGGGGCAACAACGACCAATGTTACTGCTGTTTCGGGTAATGCCTTCTGACTTCTGTTTGCATGAGTGGTGCTGTTTGTGTCTGTCTTGTCTCTTTCTGTGCGCTGCTTTATCTGCTAATTCAATAAGTGGAGAATTGTTCTCTCCCCGACAATGTTACCTTTGAGGCGAAGCGGTGTGACTGTCAGTAAAACAGCTGTGTGAGTGACAGTCCCTTCTTATTCAGGTACTAAGAATAGGCACTTGGCACAAATGCGGAGTGAATTGTTAAAATAGACCTTTCAGAAAGCACAATTTCTCCCCCCTCCCCAAAGATACTTTAAGAAGGATATATTCTCAAACAAGATTTAGAACCTTTGCAGTTTGATAAAAATTTGGATCTTTTTGAGATTTCTTGCCATGTGCAATTGGAAGAAAGAACAGTCCAACTGCTTAACCCCACTTTAAGGGTAGTGCTCTGTAATTAAGGTCTAACCTAATGTTCCAGCCATTTACTAGCAAATAAATCTATTAAATGGTGTGTGTGTGTGGGGGGGGAGTGTTGCACTTTTTGATTTCATCTCTCTCTCTCTCCCTCTCTTTTTAAAAAAGTGGAATACTGCTGATTTTGCAGCACACAGCATTTTACAAATCCTTTACTTATTATTTAGTATTACTTTATTTATCCTACACAGTGAAGTACTAATTTATAAAGAGATGTATGTACAGTACATTTCATGTAAATTCCACATAGTTCAATGCATGCTTTTCCAGAGCCTTTGCAAGCAATGGGGGAGGGGGAGATCCACAAATTAGTTAAGTTTTCTAGAACTTAGGCAAGTTGTAAACTTAATTTTGGACTGAATAACCATGCAGTCATTGATTCATCTTATAGAGCCCTAAACAGAATGTGTGCTGTCACTGTACAAGCAAGTGACAGTGTATTGTGGGTATATGCCCACTAGCTGTCCTTAGTGTCTGCATATCACAGTGGCTAGATGCAATTAAGTCTGATATAAAAAGTGCTTAGGATGCTGAAAAGCAATATAGGCAATAAAAGAGCTTACCAATGGGAAACTGTTGTCTGGTGGGGGTGGGGGGGGCAATAAGGAGCAGGATTCCTAGTTCACCTGCAAAAGAATGTAAATAAACAGTAGTAAGCAAGCACGCTCAGTGAGAGATGGTTTATAGATCAGTACTCAGTAAGTTTATCTACACTGTGGTTTAAACTCTATTAATCTGGGTATAAGTGCAATTGTCACCACTCCAAGTTGAAACGGGAGGCTGTCTTTGGTGGGGGAGGTGGCAGGGGAGTGATTCTAAAGTTAGGAAGATGTTCTTTTTTTAAGGAGCTTTCTTGAATTTACCGTCTTAGAGCTAATTTGAATGATTAGTTTTGATAAGCCTCTTAAAGTAGGTGCATTTAAATGAAATCAGGGCATGTGCCTTTTTGGCTCCAGTGGAAGGTAGAAACTATTCTGCACACACGCAGGCAACACCCCCCCACACACTTAGCTTTCTCTCCCCCCCCCCTCTGCTAAAAGTCTTCCGGATGTATGGTTGGATGGATCTGTGGTTCAGTGGACAAGCAGACCCATCTAATGGCCAGCAACACATCTCTCTCTCTGTCTCAATTAATAAACCACAGAGCCTTACATGGTATTAATATTGCTAGTAATTGTGTTTTGGCTCTGTGACATTTGATGCATGCGGAACTATGAAGGCAGTTATGGGATGAGTTAAAAGTAACAGATTATTTGATTGCTAGAGTTTCCACTTTATGGTGGAGCGTGAGGGAGAGCATCAAACTAAAAACTGACAGGACTTTTGGGCAACACGCAGACCTCTGCCTGACCATCACTAGGTATGCTTTGATATCTGGATAGTGCGTGCTAAAGAATGCAAAAAACTTAAAGCCAGCTGTGACCAAGACTTTTGCCTTTTCAGCGAAACTGTAATGCTAATAATTTCCCATACCACTTAATAGCCAAGCAGATGCAATAAATATATTTGCTGATTTAGACATATGTGTCTCAATTTAATCATTCTAAATGAAACAGTGTGCTCATAATATAAAATCTCCAACCTCTGATTAAAATGTAACATTGACTAAAGGATTATAGAGCGGACTTAATTTTACTGACTGTTTTAACAGTTGTCACAGCTGTTGGAAGAAGGGAAGGCAATTGAAACAGTCCAAAAAAGGGAGGGGGGGGGAGGAACTAGCTTAGTAAATTTAAACATGATCTCTGAATGCCGGGCATAGAACGGCAAATAGATTTGTGACTTCAGATACCTTCTGTGCCCTGTGTACATTTCCCTTTTGTGGCTCTGTCTGCTTCATGAATCTGAACCTCTTCCATGCTTTTCTTATTAAAATGCAACAGTGCTGAAATGGGGAGGGGGATGTACACATTATCTAAAAGGACACTCCTTCCCCCATGGTTTACTCTACATGAAAGAAATGTACAGATGCCAAGAAACTTAGGATGTATGGCAGAAATTTTAAATTGCGAATGTCTGATGTAAGAAATTGGGAGACAAAAGAAACTTGAGCTAAGAGAGACTCTACATCCATTTCACAATGTATAATTTCAAAAATATTGTGTTTGAGAGCTGTTTTGTAGAATCTGCAATTTCTTCATATTTATTAAGAATCATTAAATAGCCAGAGGTCCTCATCAGTTTCCTGCTCCCCCCCTCCCCTTTCCTTTAGATCATAGCTATTATTACAAAAAAAAATTGATCTCAAAATATTTGAAGTGTGGGTTAGTCTCCTTAGTGTGAAGTCTCCGTATATAATGGAAGTGATAGTTGTCCCATAAATATCTGTGCGTGTGTGTATTAATCTGTGTATTAATGTAATATGCAGTCAGCATGCATGACAAAACTAAAGTGTGCTGTCTCTCTAACCTAAATATATAAGATGTAAGCATGAAAAAAAGAGAATTAATGGATTGTTTTTCATGTTCAGTCACTGCATGTACACTCAAAAGGGCCTTGCTATGCAATCCCCTCTCCACCGCTACCAATATTTTCCCAGTTTGGATTTCTGTTGTTCATATACCTTTTCTGCAAGTTCTCAAAGCGGGTAGACAGTGCAAGGATCTAGTGCTAAAATGGCTGTCTGATAGCTTTTTATTTGCTGGGCCTGACCCCTTTTTTAGTGATGGTTGCTCATTTTAATGTGTTTATGGTTCTGCTCTTTTATTTACTGAGCCTGGTTTGTTGCAGCAGTAATTAACCTGCGTTATTAGCAAAGCCCTTGTGAATACCCATTAATTCTCTTGAATGGATGATCATTTTTTCCCACAGTTATTTCCCCCCCCCCGACTTGCTGTCCCATATAAAGCTTCCCTTCGCTTAAGATATTTCTGTATTTTAAAAGGCATATGATAAACTGACTCTTCAGGAATCTAAATCATAGTAATACATTGATCAGTTTCTTTAAACATCAAGAATGTTAAGTTCTTATATTTTTATTTTTTCAGAAAAAGAAAGATGTAATTAAGTCTTCCATCCTGTAGCTTTTTTTGGTAACAATTCAGGGGATGAATTATGTTATTTTTCAAGTGGTATGAAGTTACTTTGAATATCACTTTGGGTATTTAAAGAAAGGAAAAGCATATTAAACCCACACAAAAAAAATATACTTCCGCTTGGACTGCTGAGGAAAGATAAGGACTGCTTCATTAGCTAAGCCACACTTTTGCAATTAATTTTAAAATACATGGTGCTATATATCAAATGCAGAAGGTAACTTGTCTGTAGTTATTTTTTTTAACAATTCTTGAAGCCTCTCCTTTATAGCACAGCCTAGCAGTATATAAAATCAAAGTATAATAATATGATGCTGTATTCTAATTTTTAATAATAGCAAGCTTAAATAGCCTGGCAGACTTCCTGGTATTGACTGTTTCTGATGCATAGTGACCTTTTGGCTTTGATCTCATTGCAAAAACAAATAGAAATGAACAACACCAATATTTATTGACACTTTTCAAACCCTTGCCCCTTTATAAATATTCTTGTTAGCCTGCTATAAGTCAGTAAAGATGCTTGGATGCCGGACATAAGCAACTTGTGGCAAAATGAACCAGCATACATCCTACTGGAAGTTTAAAGTGACTCAGTTGTTTGCTTATGCTTTGGACTCTGCTTCATAATAGATGCGGGGGTGGGGGCTGTAATAAAATGTTGATCTCTACCTAGTGCCTTTCTAGCCCTAGCAAGCTCTCAGGAGGAAATCCGTGATTATGCTGGGCTGGTTTGGTTTTTATCTCTTTTATATCCACTGGCCTTGTATTAAATTGTCATTGTCCTAAAGCACATGAGAGAGAAATGAATTGCACTTCTTGACATGCTCTGACAGTGAAATATTTAGCTTCTCTGTCTCCAATCATACTCATGTGTATATGTTTGATAGTGCTGGAATGACAACCAGCAGTCTCTGGTAACCAGACATCCTCATTTTACATGTTCTCCACTTTGGGTGGTGAGGTGTCCGTGTTGTCTTTTTAAAATTTGGCATCTTGGCTGGGAGTGATCAATGTTTATTTAGATTTATATAAACAATTCTGTGTTGTTGTTTTGAAATCACAGCCAATAGTGGCTACGCATGTGTATGTGCCTTATGAATGAAAGGTATATATTAAATGTATTGTAATCATTGATATACCAGATATAGTATATACCTATAAACATTTTTCTGGACTTTTATTGCCTTTATTTTGGTAATCTTGAAGAAAGGAAATATATGTAGGTACCGGGTTTCACTGAATTTCTTCTAAATGCATATTCCAGCTTGCCGTCATTTTCATGTCCATATTCTTGTACAACAGAAGGTACTATAATATATTATGAACTTCTTTATTCATCAATTACGAGAGTTGTGAATTTTGTTTGCATTTTAAAACATATCTTCTATGACACAGGGTTAATTTAATACTAAAAGTATA